CTCACTTGGAAATCCACTTTCACAATCTGCTTGCATCGAAGTAATGGGTGACTGGGTGCAACAGTAATCACACATATCCTGAAAAATAACAAGCAAAGTCATTTGCAATAATTCGACATGTACAATCGTTAACGCTAAAAATTAGTTACACGTCATGTTTGAAGAGTTCTTCTCGTGTGAAGAATACCATTCCTGTTTCTATCACACTCTAAATCATCAACATAACCCCTTTTCCCATTCGCTGTTGGCTAAAAGTTGGTTTGGGGGGTCGTTCTTCCAACAGTTTCTTACTTGTTTGAATGCTGCAGCACACATTGATCTTCGCAAAATTTCCCCATTATATCTGAGAATTGCAGCAAAAAAAAAAGATAGTCAAAATTTTTTTCTAAAAAATAAAATCAATAACAAGCTTTAAAATGTAACCACTTCAAACCTGTCTTAAAAATACGCGTAAAGTATCGCTCTACGACTGATTTCCTTTCCCGACACTTCGCATCCTCTGCGTCCGCCATTTTGGCACATGAGCAGCCAAGCCTTCTATCTTAGCATCCAAGCCTAAAACAAGATGGAGTCAGTCCGAAGAGGTAGATCGACAAACATCCTTGAAAAACCGCTCAGTAAAGGACGGAATGAGGTATACAGTGGTTGAAATGATACGCTTTGTGATCGGATAATCGATTATTTTTCGTACTTTAAGAACTATCTCTGTGTTTTGTTGTAGATAAATGTAAGCACTTTTGGCTTGCTGTTTTCGGAGATGGTTCAGTATTGCCAAAACAGAGTTCACACTGTACCGGAACTTCAAAGCAAGTGAGTGAAAACAGTACCCCAGGAGCAGAAAAATCAAAATTCTTTGTTATGAGTCTGCTGCGATGGAAGTCTTGTGTAGTTAATTGAGTGATTGTGATATGTATTTTATCTAACATCTACTGATTCCAGACTTGGACAGAATTAAGATCGATATTCTGTTGGAAAGCAGGGCTCGCCACTAACGGCACAGGGGGCCCATACAATCTGTTTGTGTAGCCGACTGTTTTTTTATAGTGAATGTAGCAGATTTACCGTTTGCCTCGCCTATAGTGATATATTGTTGAGTATGTACATGAATCATTGATAAATAAACGTTGAATTACTTTACCTGTGGTGTATAGTCGTCCTTTTCCCTCAAAAGTGTTTTTTTTTAGCGATTTTGAATAAGTGTGAGTTCATCGTTAATGTAATGTATAAAATAAAGACAAGGGTGGAAGCCTTGATTTGAAAGGGTTCAATCACCCAAGCGATTTTCTCCCTGAAAATCGCATCACTCCACTATCAAACTTCGCAGCATTAAGGTCAAAAGATGCATGATTCTCCTCCTACCTTCCAAACAATAATCCATCCAAACAGACCGGAGCTAGCCCTCGAAGAAAATCAAAATCCCACAGTTTTTGAGCGCCTGGGATACGTAGCAAGATTCTCGTGTGCCAGCCAGAAACCATCACATCTGATTGCCCTTTTCTGATTGGACAACATTATTTTGAATTGGACGACATCATTTTGAATTGGTCAATCAGACGTGATGGTTGCGGACTGGCACATGAAAATCTTGCTATGCATCCCAGGCGCTCAAATACTGTGGGATTTTGATTTTCTTTGAGGGCTAGCTCCGGTCCGTTTGGATGGATTTTTGATTGGAAGGTACAAGGAGAATCATGCATCTTTTGACCTTAATGCTGCGAATTTTGAAAGCGGAGTGATGTGATTTTTGGAGGGAAAATCGCTCAGGCGCTTGAACCCTTTCAAAACAAAGTTTCCACCCTTGTCTTTCTCTTATGCATTACATTAACGACGAACTCACACTTATTCAAAATCGCTCCAAAAAAACACTTTTGAGGCAAAAGGACGACTATACACCACAGGTAAAGTAATTCAACATTTATTTATCAATGATTTATGTACATAGTCAGCAATATATCACTATAGGTGAGGCAAAGGGTAACTCTGGTACATTCACTATCAAACAACAGTCAGCTACACAAACATATTGTATGGGCCCCCTGTGCTAGCAGTAGCCAACTAGCCACAGACTAGAAAAAATTGAGTTTTGGTTGGTGGTTTTCAATTTCCACTCGCCAGTTTGGCCAGTAAGCAAACTGAAATTGTCGTAACATCTAAGAAGTTGTCACTAGTTTAAAAGTTAGTGTCAAGCCCTGCTGTAAGTTCGGTTGGTTGATTAATATGAGACTGAGAGACTGAATAACTGAGCATTATTGACTGACCACTGATGGGCCAAAATATATTTATAACATAACTAAAGCAAAGCACACGCTCTGATTGGTTAATTCAGCATCTACTATTTGCCCATGGGTGCATGCTGCTGACGTGAGTAAATGCTAAGACTATTTTTCCGCGCGCGCTTGTTTTTTCTAATCACATAAGATTATTTTGTTAAATAAAAGGGAACTCTTGTTCCAATGTATCAATGTTATGTTATAAAAAAATGGTGAACGCCATAGCATGTACTATTGAGTTATGGATGCACTTGGGAGGTTTGCTAAGTACTCAAGAAGTTAGAGTCGCACTTGGCTATCGCCTCGTGTGACTCTTAAGCTTCTTTCGTGCTTAGCAACCTCCGGCGTGCATCCATAACTGAAATAGTACACGCTATGGCGTTCACCATTTGTTAAAGATCTTAAGGGGTGAAGATTGAGAAACAAACACA